TAACTCCGTCATCCCTCGGCTTTACTTTGGACTATCTCCTCCCTGGTGGTAGTATCTGCAATGCCTAGGACAGTGCCTGGCACATAGATCATCTGGCTCTAGCAGCTCCAGGCTCACTTTCTACCAGCTTTGCAAACCCAATGGAAAAAAATTCTCTCCTTCCCAATGTTCCAGTAAAAGCTTCAGAACTGACTCCAAGGTACTTGGTGAAGGTAGCCCATCTACCCCTGAGCCCATTATAGGGCCTGAGGAGCCCACTCTTCTCTCACTGGCAGGCCTAGTTCTCAGGCCTACCACCTCCAGATCCTCAAGACTTCAGGAAAGGAAGGAGGGGATCCCCCAAAGGGAAAACAGGAGGCAGAGCTATCATCATGAGAGGGAATCGGGTAATCAGGTGGGAAAAGACTATAGAGCAGCAGAACAATGACTGCCTGCGGAGCAGGCCAGATGGCTGGAGCTGGGCCCTCTCTTCCCAGTGGACTGGAGCCTGGTATTCTGAGAGGATTAGGGGGGTCCTGAAGACACCAATGGAGGTTGTTAGCCAACTGCACCTTTTGCAGCTAAACAGCCAGTTCTTTTTTCCCCCCCCAGATTTTATTGGGAAATTGGGGGAGGGGAACAGCATTGGGGAATCAGGGAAGGGAAACAGATGAGTTGCTGTCCTTTTTTGTTCTTTAGTTGTGGAGGACGTCGCTTCACTGGCCCATGTTGATATTATCATTGCTCTCTTCCTGGGTGAGGCAGATCGGTTGCCGGGCACTGGACGGCGGGTCACAGCATCTCTTGGCCGCTCACACTGGCTGCTGGCTGCTCACGGTAGCTTATGGCAGCCCACAGCAGCTTCACTGCAGCCTATGCCATCGCCGGCGACTCACAGCAGCCCAGCTCCAGGTCAAGCTGTTGTTCACCATCTTAGCTGTAGAGGGTGCAGCGTCACTGGTCCTAATGTGGGATCTGAACCTGCAGCCCTGATGCTCAGAGCTGGTGTCCCAAGCCAACTCCTAACCAACGCGCCACTCGGCCAGCCCCAGCCAGTTCTTTCTTGAATAGAGATCCAAGTGGCACATCTCCAAAGGGAGATTTTTTAAATGGGACATCCCAGGAGTCCAGGCAAGGAACAGAGACCCTCCCACACCAACTCCAGGGAAAGAGGGTTTATTGGAAGGTCTTAAGATCTCCCAGAGCCCTGAGAAGGATGGGAGATGGTGCGACCCCGTGGGTCTGGACTTGGAAAGCTGGGCACCATGGACTCTCCCTCTGCTGTCACTGCTGCCTTCTGGGCTCTGTGCACTCTCTCTGGGTTCCTCAGCCCCAAGGCCACCTGTGACTTCTCAGCCTTGCACCCACGAGGGTGACCATGGTCTCCGACCACTTTACCTCATTCCCAAAAGAGAACCTGTTGCTAATTTTGCCAAGCCTCAGCTTCCTCATCTGTAAAGTGGGATGGTAACTGGGAAGAGTGAATGAGATACAGCGTGTAAAGCATTTTTGCACAGTGCTTGGTGCATAGTCAATACCCAATTAAAACATCTTCCCAGATGGTGGTGGGGATGATGTGAGCTCACTGATGGGTAGCTGGGGCCTGGTACATAGTAGAGGCTCAGGAGATGCAAGATCCCTCTTTGCTCAGCCTGTAGAACAGCGGTTCTCAACCTGTGGGTCACGACCCCTTTGGGGGTCAAACGACCCTTTCACAGGGGTCGCCTAAGACCATCGAAAAACAAAAAGATATTTACATTACGATTCATAACAGTAGCAAAATTACAGTTATAGAGTAGCAATGAAAATAATTTTATGGTTGGGGGTCACCACAACATGAGGAACTGTATTAAGGGGTCGCGGCATTAGGAAGGTTGAGAACCGCTGCTGTAGAAGCTGGAGAGAAACCACAGGAAGCAGCCTCAACCCCCAAATTCCCCAAAATGACAGCTTCCCCTTCCTTGCACTCAAAATGGTTGTTTCAGTTCTAGGTTTAATTCCTATTGAGCAGGAGGTGAGATGGGGAAGTGGGAAAGAGAAGAGAAATTAGGTTTCCTGCCCTCCCTGTGTCCTCCTCCTGACAGGTTTGCCTTCCTTTGTGGCCAGCCTGATACCACAGGTGAGACCAAAACCCCTCCGGAAAGGGTTGGCTTTGCCCCCTACCCACTGTCCTCTGGGTGCCAGAGAGGCACTGGCATCAGGAACCCGGCCTCAGCCTGGCCTGAGGTGGGCTCCAGGGGGCTCCCTTGCCCTAGGCTGGACACTGCCTGGGTCAGGGATGGGTTGGTGACTGGAGCACAGAGGACATAATGACACTGTCAGGTGGGCACCATTACTAACCCTGTTTATCAGGTGGAGACTCAGGCTCAGAGAGGGTAGGTGGCTCGTGCCGGGTCACACAGAAAGTTGGTGATGGATCCCAGCCTGTCTGACTCCTCACGGGAAGGAAGCGAGGTCTTGACCCCTGTTATCCTGTGCCCTTGTTGCTAAGTTCACAGGGCAGGGGCTGGGCAAGGGGGATTCCAGACCTTGTTTCCCAGCAGGCAGGCAGGCCGGCCAAGGTTGAGAAGCCTCTTCCCACATCCAGCCTGGTCTGGGCTGGTTCCTGGCTGGCTGGCAGGCTGTGACTCAGGCTTCCAGCTACTGCCTCTAGCCACCAGGCCTCCTCATCCCTTCCAGATATGAGGGGTTTGGGGTGGGGGCAGGGCAGCGGGGAGGCTGCCAAGTTATCTAAAGGGTATCCTGAGACCATAGGATCCAAGCAGCCTAAGGAGCTTCAACCCTTTTCAGTTCTTCCTTGCGTCTAAACTGAATAGCTTCTGCTGCAGGCATAAACCGACCCCATGTGTTGCTTGAATTGTAAAATGTCTCTACCCTCTGTGGGGCAAGGGAATCCAGTGTTTCTGCCAATGGTGTACCTGGAAAGGAAATCGGTGGTGGATACCTGGTGTCAGGGCGACACTCCCAGGGCCTCTACCTCAGACAGGGCTCAGCACTGGCCATGGTCATCCTGCCAATGTCCCCAGTGGCTCCTGTGAGCCACATGGACCCGATGAGGATCTGAAAACAGGGCTTGAGCTTATGTGGAAATGATAAGTAGGAGAAAGGCTGGAGACTGGCTCAGGAGGAAAGGAGGCTGGGAACTCAGTCCTGAGGTTGTTCAGCGCCTGCCACACCGGGGAGGCCTCCTGCTGTGTGCAGACCTGCCACCCAGCCCAGGGCCGCTAGTCTGAAGGTGAGACTGGCCATCCTGGGCAGTCTGCTGGCGCCATCTGATGGCCATAGGCCCTCAGTGCAGGGAAGACATTCCACGGGGAATCCCCTGGACTTCGGAGGAACATTGGGAAAAGCGGGCCATAGAGTCAGAAAGACCCTGTTGAAATGCCACCTGGCTGGGACATCTTGGGAACCTCACTGACCCTTCTGCAGTCAGTTTCTTCATCTACAAAATGGGGAGAAGAACCCACCCCCACCCCCAACCTAGAGCTGCAGATAAAGCACCTGGCACAGGGGAGGCAGTTAAGAAATGACACCTGGTGCTGAGGGCCCAGAAAGCAGTGGAGACTGAGGTGGGCTGAGGAAGCCCATTTAGGCTGGGCCTGGAATTGATTCATTCAGTTAACAAATGTTTATTGAGTACCTACTGTGTGCCAGGGCACCTCATATACATGGTGTCATTTAATTCTTATGCCAGCCTCTGTGGTAGGTACCGACGATCATTCTCACTTCACAAATGAGAAAACTACAGGAAGGATAAGTAGGGATTATTCAGAGAAGGTGGGGAAAGCATCCCAAGCAGAGGAAACAGCTTGAGCATAAGTATAGAGGTTGGACAGCCAGGTGGGAAGCTGAAGCTGGCCTTAGGAGCAGGGCAGCAGCACCTGGGCTCTGCTTGAAGGTTTTATGATGAACCAGCCTCCTCAACCCTCCCATCTGTCCCTCTCTTTGTACAGCTCATCCTGTGCTCTGGCTACAATATTTATTCTTCATTTCTCAGACAGGGTAGGCTCGTTCCCCACCTCTTTGCCTCCTGCCTGGGACGTTGTCTTCACTCTTCAGAGTCCAAGTCCCCTTGGCCCTTTAAGACCCAGCAACAGGAGCCCTTTCAGGCCACTCCCTCCTAGGTGGACCTATGACCCCTAACACCTGAGCTCTCCCTCTGAGCCCCACCCAGGCTGCAGGAGCTAAGACCTAATCCCTGTCCTAGGGCTGATTGATACCCCTAGGAAGCCCTCAGAGTGGCTCCCACTCTTGGGACACATAGTCACCCACACTGGTGAGGGTGACCACAGGAGGTTGTCCTGGGAACCCAACAGGATTGGCTGCTGGACTGACGGCCAGGCCTCCTTGCCCTCGTGGGTCCCAGCACAGCTCAAATCAGACCAAGAAGTCCATGCTCTTAAATAGCACAAGTGACCTCCTAGCACAGACCCGAATATGCAATAAGTGCCTATCCATGCACAATTGACCAAGTGTTTATCAGCAGTTTAAATCTGAATTTTCTCCATTTGGGTTTTGGCCCCAAGTTGGTTCCTCAGTACCCTTGCCTGTAAAATGGGTTTGGAGGCGAGATCAGTGCTTACACCTTACGGAGTATAAAGGGTACTCCCCCCTTGTGGCAGTTCATCCTCACAACCTGCTGGTGTCCAGTGTGACCACATTCTACCAAGGGGGCTCAGAAAGAGGAAAGGGCTTATCCAGAGTCACACACTGATTAGAGGCCCAGGTTCTACCTGGGCCTCAAATCCCTAAGGCAGTGCTCTTTTCCTGCACCACCCTCCACCCCACCCCCTAGTTGCCTCAGCTGCTCCAAATTAAAGCCCACCTCCTCCAGGTCATGCCCCAAATGCTGCCCCCACCCCTGGAGCTGGTCTCTTTGGGACATGTCCTGCTCAGGTCGTCCTAACAGCTCTGAGTTCTGGTTTGTTGGTGAAGAGGGGTTGGAGGAGAACTTGACACAGACCAGAGAACTTCACTCAGGTGAGTTCTCAGGGCATTAGCTCCATCTCCACAACCCATGCCCATCATTCCCTGTGAGCTCTCAACCTGCCATGGGGAAGGGGGAAGTGACTGGTTAATGGGGGGATGTGTGAGGATCTGACAGCATATAGTAGGTGCTCAACAAACGCTCGTGGAGAAAAGGAAGAGAAGGAAGGAGGGAGGGAGAAGGTAGCTGAATAAGTAAGTGCATAAGCAGATTGCCACATAGAAGGATGGGCATGTCCATGCATGCGGAAAGGAGGGGTGGGTGGAGGAGTGGGATACTGAGAAGATGGCTCTGGGTGTTACAGCTAACAGAGGAGTCAGAAGCTCTGTAATCACCAACTATCCCGTTTGACAAGTGAAAAGACAAAGGGGCTGACGAGAAAGAAAGCTGCTGGGTCTGTGGGACAGGCCTTTGACCAGCAGCCTCTGGTCCCCTACTGCTCCCTCTGTCTAGCCCCTCATCACCCTCTTTCTTCTGCTGGGATGGGGGACGGTTCTGGGAAGAAGTCTGTTTCTCCACCCCCTTGCTCATCTAGGCCCAGTTCCCGCCAGGCCTTGGTGTTAGGGGTGTTAGGGAGGGGGTGGCCCCCGCAGGGGCTATTTCAGTCAGAGACAGTCCTTCCTGGAAACAAAGGAAGCTGCCCGCCCTGTCGCCCTGTCGGAGATGTCATAGCCTGGACTGAGGGCAGGAAGGTGGGGAGCCTCGTGTCTGGCTTCTCCTTGCCCCAACACACTTGGGCCACCAAGGCGCTTCGGGACAGGAGGCATCTCGGGGACAGGAGGCTGCATGTAAGTAGTAACACTTACATGGGCCGGTGCGGGGTGGGGCTGGGTCTGGACACAAGGGACTATGAACTGTGGGCAGGCAGGCATTTAGCACTTACCTAAAGGAGGTCCACAAAGATGGGGAGCCCAGAGGAAGGTGCTCTACCCAGCTGGGGAGTCAGAAAATGAAGAAGCAAGATTGGATCTGGAGCTTGATGGACACTTGGGGTTTTGTTGAACAGAGATAGGTTGAGTGGCACTTTGTGTGAAGCAAGCAGTAAAGATGGGAGGCCGAAGCGGAAACCTGGATCTCTGGCTGTGAATGACTATGTCGCAGTTTCGGTGTCTTGCAAACAGTGTGACAAGAGAGGAAGGGGCACAGCGGAGGGACCTGGGTACATTAGATGAGGCTAGGGGGCTTGGCAGGAGCTTGACTGTCAGGATGGGGGTTTTAGCTTTCCCCCAAAGGACAGAGGGATGCAGGGAAGGAGGTAGAGACACACCTGTTAGAAAGCTCCCCACCACGGGAAGAGTAACTGGAGTCCAAGCAGAGGCTGGGGTCTGAGCTGGTCCAGGGCGCAGGGCCCAAGCGTGGATGACAGATGTGAGACCTGCAGGGAGCCAATGTCGGTTGCTGCCCGGGGGCAGGGGCCAAGCAAGCCCTGTCTCAGAACCAGCTCCTGCCAGGAACTGGGAGAGCAGCTCACCCCTCGTAGGTCCTCAGAAGGCAGAGTGGATGAGGGAGCCAGGGTGACAGGCCTATCTTTCCTGGAGCAGACCTGAAGGTTTGCCCTGGGTCCCCTCATGCTTCCTTCCAAGAGTACCCATCTCACCAGGGAGTGAGGGGCAGAAAATGACTGGAGTCTCCATTCACCTAAGGCAGAGGGTGTCTCTGGGGTGGTGTCTGAGGGTGACAGGCCTCCCAAAGGAGGGTTCAGGGACACAGCACAGCTCCTCCCACCAGTTTCCTCCTCCTCACCAAAACCCTCTGCCCCAGCACACTGCTTTCCTCCCAGGCCCTGCCTACTCCACCTTCTTCCTCCCCTGGGGACACCCCAGGGTCCTCACACCCCTCTCCACTCAGGGAGAACCTCCTCAACCATTAGGGTCTTGCACCATCCTTCATCCTCCTCTGAGAAGTCTCTTCCATCCTATGGCTTGCACTGGTCTCCCCCTTCAGACTAGCACATGTATATGAGTATGTACAGGTAATAGGTATAGTATTTGTGTATATGTATGTCTGTATCGGTATCTATCTACCTACATCTGCATCTGTATACTGTGCCCTCATGCAGTCAGCAGGCAAAACTTCTCATTAAATGCCTGGCATGTGAAAACCAGAGAATGAATTCATGAATGAAAGAATGGCCTAAACAAATGAATGAAGAGACGAACGAATGAACTTTCTCTTGCCTGTACTGATCTTGGCTTCCTGGCTACAATGGTGGGACTGCTGTGCTTCCTCCTTGGCCTCTCCCTTGTGCCTAACTTGTCAGCTGAGCACCCAGCACTCCTAACTCATGGGTGGAAGCCCCACAAAGAATCTTTGCTAACTAAAGGTAATATGGCATGTGGAACACATGAAAATCCAAACATCATCGTTTTGCAGTTGCCCAGAATCAAAATCAAATTTTAAGTTGGGAGAAATTAGTGTGGGGAGTTATGTTTTGCTCTAGTATAACTTTTTTTTTAAAAGATTTTTATTATTATTATTGGGGAATTGGGGGAAGGGGAACAGACAAGTTGCTGTCATTTTTGTTCTTCAGTCTAGTTGTGGAGGACGTTACTTCACTGGCCCAAGTTGGCGCCATCATTGTGCTCTTCCCTGGCAAGGCAGATCAGTCACCGGCTTCTGGACGGCCGCTCACAGTGGATGCTGGCTACACACGGTAGCCCATGACAACCTACTACAGCAGGGGCTGCAGCCTATGCCATCGTAGGCAACTCCTGGCAGCCCAGCTCCAGGTTGAGCTGTTGTTCAGCATCTTAGCTGTGGAGGGCAGTGTCACTGGCCCTCATATGTGGGATCTGAACCGGGGCCCTCTGGTGTCCCAAGCCAGTTCTTAACCATCGCGCCACTCGGCCGGCCCCTGCTCTAGTATAACTTTTACAAATCTCATAACTTTACTAACCAGTATATTCACATTAAGAACAGCTACCACTTGCCCTGTGCCAGGACTGATCCTCACAACAGCCCTATCTGGCAGGTGCTATATTACCTCATTATATAGATGGGGAAACAGAGGCATAGACATTCAGTAATGAGCCTGAGGCCACACAGCTCACATGTGGCAGAGCTGGGATTTGAACCTGGATATCCAGACCAGAGCCTATATACTCGGCCTCAACCCTCTATCACCCTCTGAGTGCATTTTCAGGACTTTATAATTTTTCTGGGCCTCAGTGGTCTCCCACCTATAAATCAGGGAGAGAGGAGATCTGACTCACTTTCTCAAGGGCTTTGCCTTACAGGTCCACTGGATTTAAGTGGTGAATTCTCCCTGGACACCAGTAAATGTGGAAATGCTAGCTGGGAGGTGAGCGACAAGAAGTCAGACTTATCCCACCAGGGGACCCTTTAAGGCATTTGTGCTGCTGGCTCCCCTAAAATCCAGCCTGAAGGGATGAGTGGAGGGACAAGGTGTAGGATGCAATGGCATGGTATGACATTTATTAAGCACCTGCTGCATGTCAGGCCTATGATACATTTCACTGATGAGGACACAGGCTCAGAAAAAGCAAGTGATATGCCCTGAGTTGAACAGCATGAAAGAAAGGAAGCCAGGATTTGAACCAGGCCTGCCTGATTCTCTGAAGCTGGGCTCGTAACCTCTACATTCCACGTCCATGGGCTACACTAGGTTCCCTCCCAGTCGAGCAGTTGGACTTGCATTGTGGCTCTGCCTCTAACTCACTGGATAAGATTGAGCAGTCATTGCCCCTCACTGTGTCTAGATTTTCCTCCCTATGGAGTAAGCTGTTGACCTCCTTCCGCCATTTGCCTTCAGGGAAGCTGTTTTCACTCTAGCCACCAGGGGGCGCTGTGACCTCAGGGCACTGCCAGACCAACCTTTGTAGCCTCAAATCAACTGGAAGGAGGGTTAAGACTCCTGAATCACCTCCTTCCCTCACTTTACAGATAAGAAAACTGCAGCCAAAAGAAGGACCATGGCTTTAAAAGGTGGAGTCCAGGCCGAAGAGGTGGGCGCTGTCCTTGGTCAGCTCACGGTGTGTGGACATTTTGTTCAAGTTGATTAATTAAGCGTTACTGGGGGAGCCTTAGTGGCTAAGGAAGACGAGGAAGCACCAAGTGCCGGGAGGACAGCCTAAGGCTCAAGATGGAAAAATCATGAACCAGATTATACTGTCAAGGAAATCCAAATTTTTAATATCATAACCAGAAAAATTAACCAACTTCCAGAAGCAGAAAGGGGTCTACTTGAACATGGATCGACATATATTGGATTTAATGCTGCTCTCTGTGGCCTAATAACAAACAGTCTTTTTCGGCACATCTTAAATGTGATACAGGCTCGTACAGCTGCAGGCTTACCAATGGCAGTAATCCCATTTTTGGCAGCAAACGTATCTTACAAAGGTTTTGTAAGTTTACCATTGAATACAGGTGATAACTGTGAAACCTGTACTGTAATACGGGGTGGATTAGTTGGTCTTGCTTTTGGTGGTCTGTACCCTGTTTTCTTGGCTATACCTGTGAATGGTGGTCTAGCAGCCAGGTATTCCTCAGCCCTGCTACCAGAGAAAGGAAACATCTTAACTTACTGGATCAGAATTTCTAAGCCTATCTTTAGAAAGATGTTATTTCCCATTTTGCTCCAGACTGGGTTTGCAGCATACCTTGGTTCTAGACAATATAAACTACTTATAAAGGCTCTTCAGTTGCCTGAACCTGGCTTAGAAATTCAGTAATTGTTAAGCAAATCTATACACAAAAATAAATCTGTAAAAGTTAAAAAAAAAAAAAAAAGAGTTACTGGGCCCTCTCTTCCCTGGACCCCAGGCTGGGCTTGCACATGCAAAGAGGCACCAGACCTGGCACTTTTTCTCAGGAGATTCTGGGGCTTCAGGGGAGAGGCAGAAAGGCAGGCCCACTGTGACCACAATCTCCAAACTCCAGGGAACCCAGGGGAACCCTGTATAGCATGATTTAGTGCTTCTAACCTCATGACATCCTGAGAGGTAGGTGCGTCATTCCCCCATTTTTCAGATGGGAAAACTGAGATTCAGAGATGGTATATCATGCCCAAAATCACATAGCTAGTAAGTAGCAGAGTTGGGATTCAAACCAAAGCCCATCAATCTCCATTTACAGAAGAGACATTTGGCTAAGATTTTGAAGGATGTAAAGAAGTTCACCAAGAAGCCTGGTGGGAAATGTGTATTATAAAAAGTGAATTGGATTTCTTGCAAGCTTGACTTTTATTGTAGTCCAGGTTTCCATGATGTGAGGGCTATGTGGGGCCCCCATGGGGTGGTGAGTATCAGAGATGCTCCTGGTGGGGAGGTCTAGAGGGATAGGGGCCTACTGGGTGTGGTCTGTGAGTGTGGTGAGTGTGGTCACTGACAGGTTGTGTATTGCTTCCCCAACCTCTCCAGATGTAGGAAGCCTGGTCAGGCAGCCATGGAGAGGCACAATGGCACAAACCAGGCTCTGGACTCACCACCCACAACCTGTGTCTTCCGAGAGAACTTCAAGCAACTGCTGCTGCCACCTGTGTACTCGGTGGTGCTGGCAGCCGGCCTGCCACTGAATGCCTGTGTCATTGCCCAGATTTGCACATCCCGCCGGGCCCTGACCCGCACGGCTGTGTACACCCTGAACCTGGCCCTAGCTGATCTGCTGTATGCCTGCTCCCTGCCCCTGCTCATCTACAACTACGCCCAAGGTGACCACTGGCCCTTTGGCGACCTCACCTGCCGCCTGGTCCGCTTCGTCTTCTATGCCAACCTACATGGCAGCATCCTCTTCCTCACCTGCATCAGCTTCCAACGCTACCTGGGTATCTGCCACCCTCTGGCTGCCTGGCACAAGCGTGGGGGCCGCCGGACTGCCTGGGTAGTATGTGGGGCTGTGTGGCTGGCCGTGACAACCCAATGCCTGCCCACAGCCTTCTTTGCCTCCACAGGCATCCAGCGTAACCGTACCGTCTGCTACGACCTGAGCCCACCAGCCCTGTCCACTCGCTACTTGCCCTATGGCATGGCCCTCACCGTCATCGGCTTCCTGCTGCCCTTTGCTGCCCTGCTGGCCTGCTACTGCTGCCTGGCCCGCCGTTTGTGCCGCCAGGATGGCCCAGCAGGGCCTGTGGCCCAGGAGCGGCGTGGCAAGGCAGCACGCATGGCTGTGGTGGTGGCAGCCGCCTTTGCCATTAGCTTCCTACCTTTCCATGTCACCAAGACGGCTTACCTGGCAGTGCGCTCCACTCCCGGTGTCCCCTGCCCTGTGATGGAGGCCTTTGCTGCCGCCTACAAAGGCACACGGCCCTTTGCTAGTGCCAACAGTGTGCTAGATCCCATCCTCTTTTATTTCACCCAGAAGAAGTTCCGCCGGCGGCCACATGAACTGCTACAGAAACTCACAGCTAAGTGGCAACGGCAGGGTCGCTGAGTCCACTGGGGCAGGACACGGGCCTGGACTGCCATTGCGTTTGCCATTGTGGCTGAGGCACCAGAAGCTTCACCAACCCTAAACCATGCAGAGAATTAGGAGCTTAGCTCAGCTGTGCATGGAGTGAGGTCTCCCATAGTCCCCAAACTCTCACCAACTATTTATTGATCCCTTTCACTGAACCAGGCTCTGTGGACACAGACAAGCCTGGGCCTGGCTCTCCAGAAGGCCCCAGTCAGCCATGGAAGAGTTGGAGAAACCATGTTAAGCTGCTTACAAAAATATAGTGTGACATGTACTATAATTGAGGAGTATGCTACATGCTTTGGAGTCACCAATAAGGGAGTGAAAGAAGATAGGAGGGGGAAGTGCGAGCTTCTGGGAAGAGGCATTTGAGCTGGGTTTTGAGAGATGAAGATGAGCTCTCTGAGTGTGATGTTCCATTCATTCAGCAAACCTTTACTGACACCTTGTGTTCAGGTCTGGGTTAGTTCTGGGGCCCAAGTACCGTATTTGCCGGCGTATAAGACGACCGGGCGTATAAGACGACCCCCTAACATTTCCACTCAAAATACAGAGTTTGTTATATACTCGCTGTATAAGACTACCCCCTCTTCCGCACACCTTCCACACACCAAATAAAAGGTAAAACAATATCAGATTTGATTTCAACATTTTAATTTATATTCAAATGCTTATGACATGCAGGAAAACTGTCACAAGGCTGTATGTAATCAAACATATACATAAAACAGTGCAAGTTTATTACCGGTAAACATACCGGTAATTCACTAAAGAAAACACACTCTATAGACTGGTACCGTAGATTTTGCGAGTGTGGTAAAATCGCATAACAGCAAAATCGCATAACAGCCGAGCATACACCCAGCAGCGCTGCTGATGCCTGAACGGTATGTGGAATGAAGTGGGCGGGCATCGGGAGGCCACTATGGCACGGGGCAAGCACTATGGGCAGTCTATCTGAAGTGTACCTGGCGTATAAGATGACCCCCCACTTGGAGGCATATTTTTCAGCGCCAAAAAATCGTCTTATACGCCGGCAAATATGGTAGTACCGCCCCAGCCCTGCCCCATACAGGCTCCCAACTACTGGCGGTACTGATACAGTGATGTCAAAGCTGTAACAGAGGGAAGCATGGCTACGGGAAAGGGTGCCCAGAGGATGCCCATGACCCCAGTCCAAGGAGTCAGGAAAGGTCTCCCTGGGGATGGGGGGGGTGGCATCTGAACCAAATGTTGAAGGCCAAATGCAAGCTCTGCAAAAACAAGTGGGAAACATGTTGGTGCAGCCTGGGCCAGCCCTGTGCTAGGCTCTGCCCTGGGGCAGATGGGCGGAGAGCATGTGGCCTCCTGTGTGTGAAAGCTGAGAACACAGGAGCTGTTCCACGGCCATTCTCCAGACAACGGCAGGAGTAGGCCAGATGCTCCAGGCTGTGGGGGCTCAGCAGAGGGAGGAATCAGGGAGCACTTCGTAGAAGAGGTGAGCCTGGAGGTGGGGAGGAATCCAAAAGGCAGAGGAGGCAGCTCCTGGCGGAAGGCACTGTGTGAACAAAACCCAGAGGCAGAGATGGCACTGAGCCTGGCTATAAAGCAACAGTGAGCTTCAACTACGCCCGGGGCATTGGGTGTGTGAGAAGGTGGGTGAGGAGAGCTAGGCGGGGCCAGAGCATTAAATGCCAGGAAGAGCCCCAGACCCCACTTATTCTCCACCCACCTCTTCAGATGTGCCTCTTTCAGGCTCAGGGGATCCTCAGTCCCTGGTTCACCTCCACCTGACCCACCAGGGGAGGGCACATAGCCCTTCAACACTGCTTCATTCTACAAGCAGAATTCAGCAGCTTGAGGAGACTCAGAGCCACCAGGAGGCTATCCTGCAGGTCCCATGGTCAGGAGTCTGCCGGCCAGTCTCAAGACAGACCGCTCCCCCTGGGTTCCTCTCTTGCCCTTCAGCAACATCGTTCTGGCCTGTGGGTACTTGGAAGGCTGCCTGGAGGCCATCTCACATGGAGGCATCTCAAATACAGAGCTGAGCCTTAAAAAGCCTTGGAAAGGCATCTTCACTGAAGGTCGCAAGGAGACAGCAAAGGGGAATTATACCAGGCAAGGCCCTCCCGAGCCCTCCTCACCTGCTCTCCCCCTGCACAACTGTCCTTTCAGCCACACCTCTGCAGGTCCTCATCCTCTCTGCTCTTTTTCCTTCTCTCTCCTCCCCACCTCACCCCATCCCCCCTCACTTCTCTTCCAGGCCCCATTCCCTCCTCCTAGATCTCAGTTTTCCTCCTGTGGAACAATCTGGCCTGTCCTTGGCTGCTGGTATTCCACACAGACCCCATACATGACAGAACCAGCTTGGCAAATACTATTCTTAGAAGGTAGATGGAGGAAAGGGCAGAGGGACAGGGCAGGGAGGGGAGGGACTCTAGAACATTTCCCTTTTAGTCCTGCCTAATCTCCAAGACTGCTGGGCAACGTGGGGATTCAAAGAAGGGCTCTGGAGAAGCTCAACTCCATGGTAATGCCAGAGGTATGCTCGCCGCTGGGAAGTGGGAAAAGCAGGCCCAGCCCACCTTGGAAATCCATTCCAAGTACCCTTGCTGGAGAGGCTGACAATTTTGATTCTTTGGACCACAGTGAAATAGAAGTGTGGGAACCTCAGAAGACAGAGGCTGGTTCTTACTCCCTGTACGATGCCATGCCACGCCTAGCAGTACAGATATTACCCACCTTGACTCTTGTTCCAAGTCTTGAGACCAGACTCTTCAGTTGCCTGTGATGGGGAGGTGGGCGAGAGGGAGAACAGAAGGCAGAGTCCAGGTCACGGCCCAGGCCGAGCTCCTGTAGATACCCGGATGACTATCCCAGCACACTACCAAGAACTGTGACGTTGTGGTTACTTTTATAAGAGTAAAAATTGTGGGCAACAGGTAAATTCCATTGCCAGCTTCCCTTTGCGAGGCAGAAGCACTAGAGGGTACAGACTCCAGAGCCAGACCACCTGGATGCGTGTCCTGGCTCGACCATTTACTGTGCTCTTCTAGGCAAGTTGTTTAACCTCTTTGTACCTTAACTTCCCTAAATGTAAAACGGGAATAATATTGAAACCTATCTTTTGTTGTTGTTGTGAGGATTAAATTAATATGTGCAAAGGACTTAGAACAATGCCTGGAACATAGTAAGCATGCAATAAATGTTACTCTTCTAATGATTTTCCCTTTTGGCACACAAGTTCCCCCAGGGTCTATCTGTAGGAAGTCATGGACGGTTTCTAGACAGGGGATTGCCACAATTTCTCTTTCTCCTTTACCCGGGAGGCAGTCTGTCTTTTAAGGAAAAAAAACTCAACACACGTTCTTGAGAACAAGGGCCATAATCCATGAGCCCCAGCTGTTCCTTTTATTACGTGCCAGTACCAGGGACTCCAAGTGCCATTTGCGGGGCTTGAATTCCTCCTTTGCTTCTCCCTCCTTTTGTCTCATTCCTTCTCTTTATCCCCCTTCTCCCTCGACACTTGAACTCAGAGTACATTCAGTGATGGAGGTGGGGAAGGGGTGAGAGGCTTACCCTGGGAATGTCTGTTAGCTGGGGTGGGCACAGAGGGAACACAGGGGTGTGGAGATGGGGTATGGTGAGGGGCAGGGGGACCACGAGGGCTCAAAGGGGTCCGAGGCGATTCTTCCGTGGGTTAGAGAAGACTTCCCAGGGGACGGAGCAGTGCAGGCTGGGTCTTGAAGGATGGATGTAATTAGACTGAAGGAGAGCAGGAAAGGGTGTTTCTGCTATAGAGAACAGCACAGGCAAAGGCGTGGAGGCTATTTGGAGGAAGAATAAGAAGGGCTGTGGCCTGAGCTGAGGCTGAGGAGCTGGCAGGGCTAGAGAGGAAGGGAAGCACTGGGGAGCCACAACAAGGACAGCATTGATCAGTTGCTAGGCTCTGAGGGTTCCGGGAACCACACAATGTGCTGAACACAAATCTTCTCATTTAATCCTTATAATACCTCCTAGTATAGATGGGGAAACTGAGGCCCAGATGTGGGAACTGACTTGTCAAGGTCATACGGCCTTTCTCCAAACCAGATACTAGATCCCCCCTGCCTCACCCTCCTTCCCTTCCCTCCCCTTTCTTCACTTTCCTTCCAAGTGCCTACCTGCCCCACTCAGTCCCAGTGACTGGGGACTCGTAGGAAGTTGTGACAGAGTCAGCTAAGTGCCAAGCACAATATCAACTCTCTTTTAGCTGGACACATGGCCTCCTAGGATGAAAACTCCTTTCCCCAGCCTCTCTTGCAGCTAGGTATGGTCAGGTAATTTACTCCTGGCTGAATGGGATATAAGCAAAGTGCTCTAACGCAGTTTAATGTGGGAATGGGCGATGTGTTCTTTGTGCCCCAACCCCGCCCCGCCCCGCCCCCCCCTTCTTGTCACTTACAATGTGGATGTGACAGCTGGAGCACCATCTTGGACCACAAGGGCAAGGATGCCTTCGGTGGCTGGTAGAGCAAAAAGCTGGAAGCAGCTTGGGTCTCCGACCATTCCAGTTTGGAGACACTTAAATCTGGATTTTTACATGAGAGATAAAAGTGTCTATCTTTTTTAAGCCACTACTTTTGGGGGCCTTTATTATCTACAGCCAAAACGAATCCCTTTACTCGGGTTCTATCCTGATGGTAGACCTAGATAGAAGCCAGGCAGTGTCCTAAACTGGGGTGGAGACCTCCACCTACATGGGAGCTAGGAGTCAACAAGGTCTAGAGATATCCCGAAAGGCTTTATGGAAATGGTGCAAAGCCTGGGGCATGGTCACCTCACTTTTGGCTTAAATCTAAGGGGGTGGATGGGCTTCCTGAGGGAGAGTGAGAAGAAGGGGGGCCTGGCTAGAGTCCTGGAACTCTAATATTAGGGAGCCAGTGAGGTGGAGGTTGAAGTCTGAGGGGTCTCTGAACAATGGTGACATGAGGGTGCAGTGGAGCTGGGTGAGGGAAGGAGGGGCTGGAGGGGAGGAAGTGAAGGTGATGGGTGGAGAAGTAAAGAGAGGAAGGTTCTGAGGAAGGCCAGGCCCAAGGAAGGCCCTTCAGGACAGGAGACCTGCCAGTGTTGGCTATTTGCTGTTGAGGACAGGGACCTAGGAGGCAGGGCCAAGGATGGGGGAGCCAGAGAGCTGGGAACTAGGGCTTGTCTTCAGGAGATTTCCATTCACAGCAGAAAAGGCCCAGAGGCACTGGATCTGTCCTAGCAATGGATGCAGCTGCCTTCTCCCTCCCTCATTCATTTATTCAACAAACATTCTCTGTGCTCCTCAGAGATGGTGATGGAAACACAGAGGCAGTTCAGACCCAGACCATACCCTCAGAAAGAATCTGAGGGTGGTGGTATAGACAAGGAAACAGACAGCTCATCCAGTAAACAACATGTATTGTGCACCTACTATATGCCAGCCACCATGCTGGGCTGCTCCTCAGGGAGCTCCTAGTTTGATGAAGAAAATGGCAATAATGAAATAAACACATACACACCTGGCTCATTACAGCCAGGGAGAAGAGTTTAGAAAAACATAAGGAGAGCCAGGGGTAAGGAAGGTCTCACTAGAGAGACAAATAAGCTCATGGAATAGTTGAGATGTTGGGGACCACGGAGTCCCTGACCCAGCTTGAGGGGCAGAGAAAGTTTCTTAGCTTAGGCCCTCAGAAGGCGTTAGCTCTGGACAGAAGGGCTGTTACTGACTTTGAACAAGCCCCTTCATTTCTCTGAGCCTCTGTTTCTTTACCTATAGAATAGTGATAATACTACCAACCCTCCCTAAGCCACCAGGGGTATTGAGTATGGCAAAGTTAGGGCAGAACTTTCATAAATTACAAAAAGGTATTATAACCCAATAGAAGAATGGGCAAGAGGTACAAAGAGGCACCTCACAGAAAAGGAAACACAGATTATTAAAAAAATCATAGAACAGATATTCAATTCTATCTTGACAATGCCTCCTCACATTGAGTAGTCCCCTGGTCCGTTGTCCAGAGCACTTCTGCACATGTGCACCTGGAGTGCGCACAATGCTCAGAGCAGCTCTGTTCACAAGAGCAAACACCTGGAAACACCCAAATGCCCATCCACAAGAGAGTGGATAAATACCCTGTGCAAGATTCACATATTGGAATATTGCACATAGCCAGAATGCACAATACCAACATGCAACAATGTAGATAAACCTTAGCAGTATAATATTCAGTAAAAAGAAATGCCAAAAAAAGTATATACAGTAAGATGCCCCCTTTTTAAACTTAAAAACTAAAAAGAAAATATATAATGTAAAGAAATACACAGATGCAATAAAACTATATAAGAAGGAAAGCAAAGGAATGCTGAACACAGGAGGTAATAGTTACCTTGGGTGGTGGGGTAGCAGGAGAATAGATGGTGGGGGAACTATATAATGACATGTAGGACATTGTAAGGTCCTAGCTGTTTCATGTTGGGTTTTGGTGGGAGCCAATTAAATAACTGGTGAGAATGTATCATGCACAAAAGGTTATAAATAATCCATTTCTGTGCACTTGAGGTCTAATTATACAGGAAAGGGACAGGACAACCTCAGGTTACTCTCTATTTGACTCTGGAATGGAGTCAGGAGCTAGATTTCCTTTCTGGAGCTCACTGCTTCTTGGGGTCCTGTCACTCCTCATCTTTCTCCCATCACTTTCAAGGCCCATCACTGGCCGTGACTGACCATCACAACCTTCCCATCTTTATTTCTCAAAGGGATTCTAGAGACCTGATCTCTCTGAGTCACCACAACTCACTGGGTAGATGAGTTATTGTTTTCACTCCCCTTTCATAGGTGAGGAGTCTGAGGCCCAAAGGAAGAGAGCGACCTGCTAGGGTCACCCAGCGTATCTGTAAGGGTACCTGCATCAGCCCAGCTCTCGACTCCCAGCACAGTGTCCCTCTTTCCACCCTGGCACCCAGTGCTCCCAGCCGCCTCCTAGATGAGTCTATATCTACATGAGTCTTTTAAGGGCTAAAAACACCCAGGTCCCTCTGTGCCAGGAAGATGACTTTGTCTCATTCTGAATCAGAAGCGGCTGGGGGTGGGGGGACTCATGAGGTGCTGCAAGCAGCCAAGCCTCTCTGAGTGGGTGAGCTTCCCATTGGGAGGAGGCCCAGCTTAGATCCTTAAAAACCCTCTCTCCCCACCAAGAGGATCACTGATTCAAAGCCCCCACCTAGCTCACCTCACAGCCAAGCTGCAAGCTGCTGGGAGCCTGTGATCTGAGTCTCCACTCCTCTCCATCAGCTTGCCCATCTATGATATGGGAAAAAGAGCCTCTATCCCAGAAGTGACTGGAAGACAGAATATGACAGGGCATGAAAGAGTTTGGAAAAGTACAAATTTCAGATGGTAGGGACATCATTATGAGAGAACAGTAACTCCTGGGTAGACGAGGGTCCCCCTACCATACTAAAACTGCCCCAAAAGAGTAGAAAGAAAACTCTAGAGGAGACAAGAGTCTGACTTCAAATAGAGTCAGAGAGAGGCACCTTTGGGGAAGCCTAGACCCACTCCTCACTTTTCAGATGAGGCAGCTGAGGCCCAGGGAAGTGCAGGGATTTATCCAAGGTCACACAGCAAGGCAAGGACAGAGAGGCACTAGGCAAGGCAGGACTCTCCTCCTTGCCATCAATTTCCCAGTGAAGAAAGAGATATGCTAGCCCCTTTGAGGCAGAACTGAGACAGAGTTAAGGTGAGGGACTTACAGGAAGCTGGTCTTAGAAAGGAAGAGCTTTCTCCCTGCAGTCATTTCCCACAACTCAAGGGAAATAGCAAGCAAGCTCAGGGTGCTGGCTGAGTCCTCCCTCTCCCATGGGATAGTCAGGCAGCCCCTGAGTGTCTGTCTACCATGCTGCCCTAAGCCCATCCCTGCCCCTTTCATCTGGACCAGGACCTCCAGCTCCCAAAGCCTCCCATCTTAGTTGGGCCCGGCCACAGTCCTCTCTCTTGGGCAGAGGGGACCAGAAGGATCCTCTGTTCTTGGGGAGGATGAGCCCAGGTTCAAGGAGGAGGAGACTGCTGGGGTCTCAAAAGAAAAAGAACCCCCTTCTTCATTGGGAATCTGGGACCAGGGAAGGCTGTCTGGAGGACCATGGTGTTTGAAGCTCCTGAAATCTGAATTTGAGTCATAGCTGGAGCTGCTATTTCCTGACTTGGACACTGGTCAAAGCTACTTCTCCTTCAAGACCCATAGAAGGGGCAGTAATTTCTACCTTCGTACCAAGGGTGGTTGGAAGACTAAATAAAATAAATGAAATAATATTGTCCATACATCCAAGGCACTCCATAAATTCCCTATATCTACATTCGATAATTCAAATGTAGAGGAGCCCTCCTGCATTTAAGCTGGGTGGGGGAGGATGAATGGGACCAAGCAGAGGCATGTGGGGGGAGGGGAACTCCCCAGCATCCGGTTCTCTGCGAGACTTGCCCGACCCAGGGCAGAGGTGGGCGGGGAATTCAAGGGCTAGGTCAGCTAGAAGCCAGAGAAGCGACCCACACCTTCCCTGTCAGGTGGGTGGAGCAACCGTAGGTAGGAGTGTAGGTTCAGCAGTGGTAAGTCGAAGGTGTTCTGTCGAAGCTCCTTTTCTATGTGAGGCCGAAGGAGGGGCAGTGTGCTTTTATGAAGGGATTAGTTTTAAAACGGCTCCTGAAGGGACTAGGAAACGATTGAAAGGAAGTGATGTCTTCCCAACCCTCCGGTTTTTTGGTGGTGGATGCTGTTTTACCTGTCCAGGGTTCCGGGGGGCTGTGTGTGTGTGTGTGGGGGGGGCAAATCCGGCCGGTAGAGGGCGCAAGAGCCACGTACCCCAGAGCGCCGGGGAACGAGGGAAACCAGCGCAGGGCCCGCAGCTGGAAACAAGAGTGGGCGTGGTCACAAAGGGTGGGGCGCCTGGAGCGGTGTGGGACGGATTTGGGGGACCATCGGGGCTGGCACACCACAGAAGTTAGGGGGGCGTTTGGGGGCGCGAGGGGCTGGATCCTGTCGAAGTTACAGCGGGATTCGTCTCGGAAGGCCGAGTAAAGGGCGTGGCCTGGGCGGGGTGAAGGGGCGGGGCAGGGAGTAGCCAGAGCCGGAGTCCTCCCGCGGAGCCTACTGCTCCCCCTGGCGGCGAGCCTTGCCCCTTTCCGTGCTGGGAGAGTCGTGTACCTGAGTGTGTCGGTGTGTACAAGTTTGTGGGTCCGAGGTTGCCATGTTGGTCCCCTTAGCAGAAGTTTCCGGCTGAACCGCAGTGGGTACGCCGCCCGGGCTGTATCTCCGCGGAGTAGACCACACTCAGATCTTGCGTGTGTCAGTGCAAGTCCTTGGGGAGGGACAGCTTGGGCCCTGAGGGTCGCATCGGTCCGCTTGCGCACAGTCTTGTTTCTCCTTCGGCTCCTCCCTGGTTCCCTCCCCCCTACTCCCGATTCCCAGCCTAGCGCGCGCGGGGAGCCCACCCCCTCTTTTGGGCTTGAGGCCCCGCCCCCCGCCCCCTTTCCTCTGCCACAAAGTTTATTTGCAACAAAAGGGAGCAAGGAGCTAGCAGCCCAGAGGGAGGGAGCGGGAAGCTGGAGCGAGAGCGCGAAGGGAGGTAGGCAGGCCGGCTGGCGGGCACAGAGCCGAGGAAGGGATCCGGACCGGGCCCGGCAACGCGCAATGCTCCGGGTCGCACTGGCCGAGGCTGGGGCCAGGTCCGGGGGTCGGCGCTGAGACGGGAGGGGCCGCGCGGGATGGAGCCGATGCTGCCCGCGGCCGCAGAAACTTGAGCCGCAGCAGATAAAGCTCTGCTCGGGTCTCATCTTCTCCCCGCAAATCCCCTCGCACTGCGGCTGCAGGACCCAGGCCTTCGGATCCCCGCCGCTGAGCTCCTTCGGGGAGGGGGCAAAGGGGGGGTTGGCCGCGGCTTCCCGAGGCCAGCCCCCCCGGAGTGAGAGCCGCCACCATGGCGGACGGGGCGCCCCGGCCCCCGCTGTATCGCAGCGTCTCGTTTAAGCTGCTGGAGCGTTGGAGCGGCGGTCCCGGGCCGAGGGAGGGGGCCGCGGACATCTCCGGGCTGCGGCGCCGCGCCTCGTGCCGACCGGCCGCGGCCGTCCCGGGCCAACCCACCCGGCGCGTGTCCAAGCTGGCGTCGGGGCCCCCAGCCGCCCCCGCGCAGCCGCGCCCGCTCCGAAGCCTCTCGCCGTCGGTGCGCCAACTCTCCCGGCGCTTCGACGCGCCGCGTCCGGACGACGACTCCACTGGGCCCCGGGACGGGGGCGTCTCCCCCGGGGCCGCGGAAGAAGCGGCGGAGGGCGCCGCGCGTGGGGCCTGGCCCAGCGTCACCGAGATGCGCAAGCTCTTCGGTGGCCCTGGCTACAGGCGGCCCAGTGCCGACTCTGAGGCCTCCGGAACGCCCAGCCCCGATGGTACCGCGTGGGAGCCCCCGGCCCGGGAGCCCCGGCAGCCTCCGACGCCACCTCCTCGGACATGCTTCCCTCTGGCGGGCCTGCGTTCGGCGCGGCCGCTGCCTGGCCCAGGGACCGAGGGGAGGAGGCGGCGGCAGCAGCAGCAACAGGAGCGGGCGCAGCGTCCGGCGGATGGTTTACATTCTTGGCATAGCTTCTCCCAACCGCAGGCTGGGGCCAGGGCCTCCTGCTCCTCCTCCTCCTCCGTCGCCTCCTATCCTGTCAGCCGCAGCCGGGTTGCCAGCTCCAGCGAGGAGGAAGAGGAGGGCCCGCCGCCACCGCCGCCCGGGGCGCAGAGCCCGGCCTACCACGGCGGCCTCTCCTCGGGCAGTGAAGAGGACCAAGACGGTGAGGGCGGCCACTGCTGTGGAGGGAGCTCGGGGCCCACGCCAGGAAGCTCCCTCTTGGATAAGGGCTGCAGGTCAGACAGTTATGGGTTAAATCTGGGCAGCATGGACTCGGCTGGGGGAGCCAGGAGCCCGGAGCTCCCAACATCTCCTACAGCCCCTAGCGAGGAAGGACACCAGGAGTGGGGTACTGGCTCGCCTCCCTTTGTGCCAGGACCCCAGGAGGGACTTCGGCCCTCGTCAGACACTGTAGGGGGAGCTTTCCGCGTGGCCAAGGTAAGCTTTCCTGCTTACCTGGCCAGCCCATCAGGCTCCCGTGGTAGTAGCCGTTATTCCAGTACGGAGACCCTCAAGGATGAGGACCTGTGGGCTAGCCGGAGCTCTGGGAGCTGGGGTGTGTATCGATCCCCTAGCTTTGGACCTGGAGAAGGGCTCTTCCTAAGGCCCCAGGCTCGAACCCGCGGCAAGGGACCTGTGGGCACCACGAGGTCATTGAGAGATGGAGGATCGGAATTGGATAAGAGCCGGCAGCGGAAGTCCCTATCAAATCCAGACATTGCCTCGGAGACCCTGACATTGCTCAGTTTCCTGCGCTCAGACTTTTCAGAGTTGAGGGTCCGAAAACCTGGTGGACGCCCTGGGGACCTTGGGAGCGCCCCCTTAGATGGCAGAAACTCACCATCAGCAGGTGGCCTGGTGGGGCAACTTGAGCCCATGGCCCCCTCAGCCCCAGCAGCACCTGGCACCCGCCCCACACTCAAGGACTTGACTGCCACCCTGCGGAGGGCAAAGTCATTTACCTGCTCTGAGAAGCCCATGCCCCGCCAGCTACCACGCATCGGTGCCCTGAAGCCCAGCTCCTCTGAGCTCCTGCTGGCAGGCCCAGGTGCCGAGGAGGATCCACTGCCTCATGTTGTCCAGGATCAGTATGTACAAGAGGCCCGTCAGGTTTTTGAGAAGATCCAGCGCATGGGTGCCCAGCAGGATGATGGAAGCCCTGACTGGGCAGGGGACATGACCCGAGGGCAGCGGTCCCAGGAGGAGCTCTCCGGCCCGGAGTCCAGCCTGACAGATGAGGGCATTGGGGCGGACCCCGAGCCTTCTGTTTCAGCCTTTTGCAACCTGGGTACCACAGGGGTGTGGAGACCCCTTAACTCATCTTCGGCGCAGACCAACCAACTCCCTGGGGCTGAAGACAGTCTGGGAGGGTGGTCCCTGGTGTCCCCTGATAGCCCTCTCACACCAGGTGCCCTCCGCAGGAGACGCAAAGTCCCACCTTCAGGCCCTGGTGGGACTGAACTGAGCAATGGGGAGGCAGGTGAGGCCTACCGGTCTTTGAGTGACCCAATTCCACAGCGCCACCGAGCTGCCGCCTCTGAGGAGCCCTCTGGGTTCTCCATGGATAGCAACCTCCTGGGCTCACTGAGTCCCAAAACAGGGCTTCCGGCAGCTCCAACGGTGGACGAGGGCTTGACCAGCGGCCACAGTGACTGGTCTGTGGGCAGTGAAGAGAGCAAGGGGTACCAAGAAGTCATGCAGAGCATTGTTCAGGGTCCTGGTGCCTTGGGGCGTGTGGTGGACGACAGGGTTGCTGGCAAAGCCCCCAAGAAGAAATCTCTGAGTGACCCCAGCCGCCGCGGGGAGCTGGCAGGGCCTGGATTTGAGGGCCCTGGAGGGGAGCCCATCCGAGAGGTTGAGCCCGTACTGCCGCCATCCAGCAGTGAGCCTATCCTTGCAGAGCGGCGGGCAGAACCAGAAGAGCCCAGTCCTGCCAGGGGCCGAGCACAGTCTGAGAGGGCCCTACCTAAGGCCCTGCCTGCCTCCCCCAGTGCCCACTGTGACTTCCCCCTTGACGCTAAACTGGCTAATGTTCTGTCCCCACGGCTCATCCGCCGTGGTTCCAAGAAGCGCCCAGCCCGGAGTAGTCATCAAGAGCTGCAGAGAGAGGAGGGCAATCAGGACCAGACTCAGGCCCGACCTTCCTCCAGACATGTTCGCCATGCCAGTGTGCCTGCTACCTTCACTCCTATTGTGGTGCCTGAGCCACCGACTTCTGTTGGCCCCCCTGTAGCTGTGCCGGGCTTCCCTGCCCGAGCCCACCCCACATTGCAGGCACCATCACTTGAGGACGTCACTAAGCAGTACATGCTGACCCTCCACTCTGGCGAGGTGCCAGCCCCAGTGCCAGTGGATATGCCCTGCTTGACTCCAGTGGTTACACCGCCCTCTGCTGAGGCCAAGCCCCCTGAGGCAGCTAGGGCTCCAGATGAGCCTGCTCCAGCCAGCAAGTGCTGCAGCAAGCCACAGGTGGTGAGTCCTTTGTGGGGGGCCTTTCGGGTGGGGCTGAGGGAGGGCCATGGGCACTGACTTCTGCAGAAGCCTTTTGAGAGTGCTCATTGGGCAGGTACCCAGGTCTGAGAGTGCGTCTCTGGTCCGGGAAGTGCCCAGGCAGTTTTAAGAGTGTTAATGACACAGGGCTCCTATCTTTTCAGGCCCCAGGGGCTTCAGGCTTCTGCTAAGTCAAAGGTTGTTAACCTGCTCCAAGGCATTCTGGGTGATAATTACACAGGGTTCTAATCTCCTTCTTTAGCTATTTCTCAGGGACTGGTTTTAGAGATTTCTATCTGGTTCTTTATTTTAAATACACAAGGGGATGGGGGAGTGATGGAACTCTCTCAAGAGACTGCCCTATTGGCCAGACGCCTGGTGGGATGTTTGGGCTTGGGGGCCCACAGTTGACATGGGTTTGCCCTTCCTCATGTGTCTTTCCTGTGGCAGATCAAAATGTAGGTCTGTCCCTGGGCCTGGGAAAATTGGAGAGGTACAAGGCGTTTACGGAGTAGTGGAAAGGGGTCTATAAAATATTTGGTGGCTCTGGCCTTTCCCTGTGACTCAATCTCTCCATTGTAAAATCAGGTGGGTTGTGGACAAGGTGGTGCTGCACAAATTGGGGGGAGTCTGCAGATTGGAGTTGGGGGCCTAAGGTCTGCCGGAGCCTCTTCTGATTAAAATGGGGGCCTCTGGGGAGGGCAGAGTCAGGGAGGGGTCTGCTGGAGCTCAGCAGACAGCGGCCATGAGAGGTTGGGAGTGGTTCTGGCCCCCACAGCCAGGTTTGCCTCTGTGGGTCAGGGTGGGGACACTGGTCCCCCATCCTGCAACTTGCATCTTCTCCCTTCCTGGTGACTGGAGATGCTTCCCCCTTCCTCTGCCAGACCCCAGGCCCTGGAGACTCTCTTCCTGAGGCCTCCACTTCTGGTTCTGGCTTCAGCCGTCCTTGGAGTTTCGGCTATGGGTTCAGATAGGTCCTAGGCGGCTTGACATCTTGGCATCCGGCATCTGGAAGCTAGATTCCAAGCTCTGGGTTCTAGGTCTAGTGCAGGGATGGCCTGGGGTTATTTTAACCGTGGCCTGCACTCCCACTGCGTTCCCTGCCTGAGTGAGGAGCCTGGAAACCCAAAACTTGGACTAATTTGGTCACTCTCCGTTTCTATCACTCTCATGGCCCTTCTGAATTCTCTGTTTTTCTCTCCTTGTCTCTAGTGTCTCTCAGAGAGGCTGCAGAGTCAGCAGGCAGGGAGTGGAGAGAGGAGAAATTTGGTGCCTATCCTTCCTTCTGAGAGCCTGGTAGGGCAGCTCAGGTGTCCCTAACTCCAGTGCCTGTTGTTTTTGGAACATGGAGGTGGGGGAGGGTGAGAGCAGAGCCAGCTCTTGCCAGGGGCTCCTCCTCAGCTGCCTTTCCCATATAATTATCTCCTGTGGGAGCCTTAAAGGCTAAATTAGGGGAGAGGGCAGGGGTGAACCAAGGGACTCAGGGAGACTAGGGAGTGGGGGCTGCTCCTAAGAAGAAGCATTGAGACCCAGTGAGGAGGTGGGAAGTTTTGCAGAATTGGCTCCTGGCCTACCTCCCGTCACATTCTCCCCCTGTGCCTCCTGACTTCGGGGAGAAGACCCCAGGGGGCTATGAGGTGGGACATATCTGCCCATAACACAAGTTTCTCCCTGCCCTCAACAGAGGCTCTCTCCAGCCTCCAAGCCTTTGCTCACTCCAGTCCTCCCACCTTTCCAGACCCAGCTTGGTGTCCCTTCTTTCTCCTTAGGGGAGAGAACTAGTGAGTCTATGATAGCCAAGCAGGGTTTGAGTCTCAGCTCCAGATCCTCGTGTGGCCTAGGATCAGTCACATCCCTGCTCTGTGCCTCACCATTCCCTGTCTGTAAAATGGGGGTAATGGTGTCTGCCTAGAAGGCTCTTGCATAGTAACTGGCTGGTGTAATCACTCCCTCTCTCGGGGCAGGAGAGAGGGGGGAAAAAACAGGCTTTACTGCCTCAGCTGCTTCTTGTGACTAGCCTGGCCCCTCGTCCCTGCCCCCTACTGGTTTCTGAGCACAGGACTGGTCCCTTACTGCCTCTGTATAAAGTGGTGGACTTGAATCCGCTCAAAAGAGATTCACCATCCCCTAATTCCCCACCCCCTCATAAAGCCTGGAAGTTCTCTCATCTGCTAGCCTGAATCCCTCCTGCTGTCCCCTTCTTTCTGGCTCCAGGAAGTTGGGGAGCAGCTGTCTACCCCCTCCTGTTGGCCTCTATGGAGAAGACAATGTTCCCTTGTTTCAGCTGGGGCTCTAGTCACGCTCCTTGAGCAGTGGGTGGTGATGGTGTGGTGTGGGCTCCAGAATAAGAAGGGAAGAGAAGAGGCCGTCACACTTCGCTGATGGGGCAGAAACCAATGAACCCAGCTAGGAGCAGCCCTGGGGGCAGCAGGGACCCCTGACCTGACCCCAGGCTGCAAGGAGTCCCTCAAAGTCAGGTCTCTCCCAGCCAAGTCCATATTTGCCCTCCACGTGGTGTTATGCCCGTTATTGGGAGCAGGAGGCCTGGGTATCAGGCCTGGCTCAGCCCCTGACCCACTCTGAGATGTGGGCAGAGTCATCTTGAGCCTCAGTTTTACTATCTGTACAGTGGGAGGTTAGACTGCCTGGTCTTTAAGCTTTACAGGAAGGACTCAGCCTGCAGGGTGGTCAATGAAAACAGGAGGAGTTGGGGTGTGGCTGGAGGGAATGGAAAGGCAGTCTATGCAACAGCTGTAAGGAACAGAGTCCAGGGAATGAAGGATAACTAATAACGGTGGCTTTATTCTGTGGATACCTGCTTGCCTATGTACTGCAGGGAGGAGGCAAAGCTGTGAGCGCCTCCTTGCTCTGCCCCTCCCACGCCCCTTGGCATTTCCACTTAGGCCCACAATAGCCTGGCTGATGACTTTTCACTCTAGGGCTTCCCCCACCCTGACCTTAAAGTACAGACTTTGTGGTCCAACCTGATGCCCTCAGATACCTGACACCCATTTGACAGATACGACAACCAGTTGCCCAGAAACAGGAAGTGACTTGTGTCTCAGAATCAGATAGATGGACTCACAGAACTTACTCATATTGGAATAGCAGTAACCGTGGCTAATATTTATTAAGTGCTTTTTATATGCCAGACACTCTGAATGTTTCATTCTTCGAATGTGAAAGCTGTGGGACTCTTACAGTGCTGAATTCTTAGAATTGCAGACTGTTAGATTCCCTCCGAATCTTAGAACATCCGTGACCTAGAGGTGAAGGGGCCCGAGGGGTCTCTGTTTCTCGGTGGGATTGGCCTGCTATCTGAGGGTTGAGGGGCAGATGGGGGCATCACCTGCACACCCCTAACAGCCTGAACACTTTCATGGTGTTTATTTAATTCACTGGGGCCTGGGGTTGGGGAGAGAATAACTGAGACGCAGAAAGGAGAATGCTGAGTCTGAGGTCACACAAGTAAGTAAGGCAGGGCAGAGCCAGGCTCAGGCACCAGGACCCTGGCCTTGCCCCCCACCCCTGCGCCAGCAGACATGGCCCCCATCCCCCCAGCTTGCCCAGCCAGCTCCCTGCCTTGCGGAGGAAGGACTGGGCTGCAGCTCTTGTCACCTTTTTTTCTTTCTTGTCTCCCCTTGGCAGGGAACCTATGGGGGTGAGGGTTCTCCTTTCACTCCTTGGCTCTTTGCTATGATTTTCCCATGGAAACTTGCTCTGGGAGGGGAGGCTATTAGGACATTTGGAATTCTGAGCCGTACCAAATATCTATAATTAAATGTCTTTTCACCCAGCAGGAGGAGGGTGGGAAGGGGGAGGACAGGCAGAGGGCTGTCCCTTTCCTCTGTTTATTCCCTGCCCCCCATTCCTTTCTAAGGGCCTCGGGCTAGTGGGGGCACTGTGGCCCAGGAATCGGTACCCCCTCACCAGGCAGGGAAGAGTTAGTTGGAGGGTGGACCAGAGTTGAGTCTGACATATTTTCCAGCCCCACATTTCCAGGACCAGCTGGATTTGGGAGGCTGGCAGTCTGCTGCTAATCCTGTCACCAACCCCCATCTCAGTGTAGGGACTTGCCCCTCCTGCCTTCCTCTCTCCTATCTGTGATCTCTCAGGCTACACTTGTCACCCCACAGCTGGAGGAGGCACCCCAGGCTTACTGGGGAGCCAAAACACTCAGAGCTTTTAGAATCTAGAAGCAGACTGAAGGGGCTGGGACTGGCCCCCTGGCTGGCAGGGGAGGCTTCCTGGAGGAGTCTCTGCCTGGAACTTGGCCTTGAAAACTGAAGAGAGGGGGGGGATTCCAGCAGGAGGGCACTGCATGAGCAGAGGCTAGGATATGGGAAAGAACATGGCAGATTGTGTGCAGTTGGAGTTTGTTTCAGAGACTTGGGTGACCCTTGATAAGGCAATGCATGCAATCTATTTAACAGATACTTACTGAGCCCCTAGAAATGTCTGGCTCTCTTCTAGGACCTGGGAATACAGCAGCAAACAAAACAAAATCCTGGCCTCATGGAGCTTCCAGACTAGTGAGGAGACTTGTCTATAAATGGATATATTATGAGTCAAGGAGAGGTAGGGGCTGGGGAGCAAAACAAAGCAAGATAAGGGAGTAGAGAATGACAGGGAAGGGGTGCTATTTTAGGTTGAGAGGTCTGGGAAGGCCTCTCTGAGGAGGAGAGATTAGTGTAGAAGCTTGGAGGAAGTGAGGGAGCAAGCCAGGTAACTGTCTGGAGGTGAGGGTAGGGCATTCTGGGCAGAGAACGGCAAGTGCAAAGGCCCTGAGGTACCGGTGTGTTTGAGAAATTGTCAAGAGGACTGTGTGGATGGAGCAAAGTAGAAGATGAGGTCAGAGAAGTAAAGGAGGGTGGAAATGGGTTGGGGCCAGACAAGGCAGCTCTCATAGGCCGATGAGAGGTCTTTGGTATTTACTTGAGGCACGGTTGGACAGTTCTGAGTACAGCAGTGGCCTGATCTGA